GTAGCGCAAGATTTGAGTTAAAAACATAAACACCCTGCACCTGCGACATTTTTGAGATTACTTTTGACCACATGTAACTCCGGAACCTCTGCCAAATCGGAGAATTGCCTAACTGCTAGACCTCTTTATATGTCTTGCAGCGTTCGATTCTGTTCACGGCTAGCAACGTCTTATAGCCAGAGAGACCGGAACCGGGGTTTCAGCCCCATTTACGATCGTCAATCAGGTACGATCCAACTTCTTGTCTATCAGATCCGGCAAGTCTGCCATTTAAAAAAACCGATGTATAACGATCTGTCATTGAACTAAGGGCCAATATTCTGTCCCACAGCAGTTTTGCTCACTGACCTGGGCTGCTTGCAAAACTAGACACACCCTTCGCACTTATGCGACTGTTCCATGCAAAATTTCATACTGTCCAAGCGTGATTCTGACAGGAGTGAGTGCAAGGCATGCCTCGCGCTTTGTTTACCTGTCGACACTTTAGAGATCATACAGAGCTTCACCATCAATGGTGAAGGGGACAACAAACCAGGCCACAGTAATAAGACATTGCAGCCAAAACAAAAACCCAATTTTAAATCTCGCTGATGATTGTTGAGGACTGTCCATGTGGGCGAGCGGCCGACATGTCGGCTGCCTCTCGACTCGCCAGAGTCATAAATTCATCCACTGCACGGACTGACTTGTTCTCGGCTCGCAGCGATAAAAGTTAAGGCATGGCTAGTCAAGGGGGTCAAAGCTTCGAGCTGGAATAAACAGCCTTCGTGTCAGTTTGTGCATTCTCATGCATGCGTCATCCTAGCCTTCGCCCGACCTGACCTGCAGTTGAAAAGACAACTGAAATAGATGTCACAGACCCTATTAGACTATTAATCAACTATCGTGTACAGTTACAACGCTTATCTTGAAGTCATCGTGTACCATAGAGCATGGTGTAAACTGGCGTGAGCGAGCTGGTGTAGTCTTGAGAACCTTCGGCTCCTGAATTTTTACAAGTTACTGCAGCAACACGCCTGGCATGTGTACATCAGGTTTCAATCTTTTGTTCGGGCGCAAGTTGCGGCAGCTGCAGGCTCCTCAGACGAAAAAATTTGTGGGCGAGGGATAAACTGGCAACAACACGAAGATTGAGGTGGCCAATTAAAACTTACCTTTCATCCGCGCAAGTCAGCCAGATCCCAGCCTTAAACTTGGGACCTGAACCCAAGTTAATCAACTCTCGCGCTCAGTTACTCAGACACGGGTATCAACGTTTGCCCAAACCACTCGGTTGTCATCTGCCACTACGTGACCGCTTGAGACCGGAGCCCGAAAGGGCCGAATGGGTGTGGTTATGGCTAGTCATCCTTTACATGGGCTTTCGAGATCGATATCGAGGGAATCTGGCAAAGTGGCGGCATCTCCGACGCCAGATCAGAAAGCTGCACGTTTGAAGCAGGTCCGGATCAAGTTATGCGAATGGTAACCACCGTGCTGGCGTGTCAGATCCCAAGGAAGCGCTGGCTGGAAGGCTTTACTAGCAAGAGTGAGTCGAGAGTACCGTATGTGCAGTCGAGACGCTCTGCGTGATGTCGCTAACACCCAGGTGGCGGCAAGGTAAAATTAAGCTTAAACTCAAATGCGGCTGCAGCGATATCGCACAAACCTACCAATGCTATATCTTCGCCTACTCAAGGCACTTGCTCGTTATGGTTCCGGGAACATCCAATTTAAATGGCCTAGATGACACTGTGTGCAGCGGTTCTCCACGTGCGCATGTCTACGACAGTAACCCTACATAGATTCGTACGCTTGTTTCTTTAGTGGTGGACTAAACAGCATAGGTCTAGAAATCGCCTCCATGCATGAGCGGATAGTTACGGACTAGGTCCTCAGCTGACCTCATCTTTGTCGTCTCTAGTTTTCCATTCACCTGTATTTCAGGGGCGATGTCCATTTGCTGTGTTCGCGTCGAGTCCAGGCTGTCTTGTTCGAGACAACGTCGGCCTTCTTCACTCGTAGGACATTTCTCAAGCAGCGCCTTTTCTAGTCAGCAAAATTCGCAGATTTCTACCCAAATCGAAGGTGGTAAACTGGGTAATCGCCTGACCCATTTCGGCAGATTCAGACTCTCGTAATTTTCGGACGAGAACATGAGAGTGCTTTCACCTCTTTTTTCAGCTGGTGGCATAACGTTTCTGTATTCAGTAGGTCGGAAATTAATGCTGAGGCGTAGATGAAAACTACTAGGGTGTTAGTAAAGCGACCTTTAAGTCGTGCGTACCACAGTTGACCATCAACTTGTTCTTATGCAAGCAATGCCGGGATTGTCCGCTCCAAAAGAGCATTCCTAAGACCGCGGTTGCCAGAGGAGTCGTATCAGCCAGCGTGACAGAAATTGAAGGTGTTAACGCCTGGGATCCTGTTTTTCCGGGAACCTAAGCCTAAAATCGACGTACTGGCGAAGACTGTGAGTTGCAAAATCTTCGACACTACGAATGTTAAACGTTTGCTCATCCTGGCTTCTACTACCAAGTATTAATTTCCGGCGGAGTAGTCCAGCGCGCATGCCATCTGTCCACACCACTGGGGATTAGGGTTGGAGAGCGAATCAGTTTGCGCGGACACCGCAAATACTGTGACCAGACATTTTTATAAGGTTTCTTATTAATTTTGCGCATAGGCGAGTCCCCAGCAGTCGCTCGAATGGCGTGTTCGATGTTGTCTCCTCTGGAACTTTCGTTTAAGGACTTGAAAGCAATGCACACGAACGTACATAGCGGAGGTCCACAGTGGCTATGAGACAATGTCGTCTTCGGGCTTTGAGCCATTTCATAAGGTAGCCAGTGCCTCAGGCCTCAGCCGTTGTTGGTCTGTCACTTCCCTTTTGTGACTCGTGAGCTTGTCTTTATTTAGTGCACCTGTGAGCACGACGGGCCACCAAAAAGCTCCGTTTTCCGGGGTCTCGCTGTCCCAAAACTGGTAATCCACATCGGATCTACGATCAGGTTGAAGAGGCCATAATAGCTTAAGAGCAGGACGACTCGGAGAAGGTCTCCTTGTCTCCGATCAAACCGCTTCCAGAGCGTTCATAAATGTAGATTACGCATGTGTGTGTGAAGCCGAGTCCTTAGAGCCTACAGGATTTTAGAAGAGGAACATCCATCATCTGCTGACAAGGTAGACTGAATCGTGCTGGGGAAGGACCTTCAAAAAACCTCACGAACTAGTGCCTCAAACCGCTATTGAGGACGGGATTTTCTGTTAATGGGTGCTTTGGTGCTGTTTGCCTAAGTGTTTTGTGCAAGGATTTTTGTAATAGGGAAAATCTAAAAGATATTCCATTTGGAAATCTTAACCGCGACTTCCCTACAGTTCTTGTCTAACAGAAGACATGGCTGTTTGAGCAAAGATGGCCAGACGCGCTTTCTTCCTAAACGTTAAGCTCCTATAAAATGAGAGCTAAACGAGGTGTAGAAGGAAACAAAGCAATAAGGAATAACAAGTAATGATGATAGAGACATCTCGATCAACTAATAACAGACAGAAAACAGGACCCGCAAGATGATTATCAGGTTGTTTTTGGCTTGACTTCACCTGGTGTGTTTCTTTCTGGATGACGCTAACCAAGAATTCAGCTAATATTACTTTTTTGCAAAGCGACAGAACTGCACGGACGCAACAGATGTCAGGATATGCAGGCATTTATTCTGTGTGCACAGTACCGGTTGCATCACGAAAACAAATGAAAAAAACAGATGCAAATAGGTTCAAGGACTGGCAACATTTCCTTGTAAAGGGACCTCAGCAACTGGCACTGCTGTCTAAAAGTTGGGTGCCACTTTACATATTGAGTAACGCCAGGTAGATAAGGGTATGGGAGAGCAAAGGCTTGGTTAGATGAAATACTCCAGTAATAGTACATAACGGTAGAATCTGATGAGGTCAAAAATGACATTTGGCAGCATTGGGAATCCATATTTTGACGCATTAATTTCGTAGACGGCGTTTTCACATGATTTGCTGAGCGTCACGTACGACATGACGATTAGGGGCGCTGCTCCCTCAACCATCTCAAACAGTAATGATCAACAGTAGGGGGGAAAGTAGATCAGAGAGATAAATTATGACTGGCTGGGTGGAAAGTTAGAGAAGGAATTAGTTTACTTCCGATATCTCAAGAAATTGAGCCTATTTGGCAGAATTGTGTGTTAGCCGCTAGGTCAGCAACCCTATGTTAATGAATTTAGTGCGTCATCAGATGGAACTCCTGAAGAACTCTGGAAGTGGCTACTGTAATGGTGCAAGTAGACAGAAATGTATTGTAGGTCGTTCAGCTAGGTGTCGCGTACCCTAATTGAACATAAGTGAGTGTTGCCATGCAAGTGGGCTGATTAATGCGAAGAGCCACTTCTTTAGATATGGAGCTGAGTCACAATTCTCAAATGCGGAGGGCTCCAACAAATAACAACTTTTCCACCCAGAGTTCAACGATAAGGTCGGAAAGCTACGTAAATCCCGCGTTTTCAATATTTCATCTAGTTACAGATGTTATGGATGTGAGATCTTTTTTACCGTATTTTCGCCGTTATAGAGGGAAGGAATTTGAGAAACTTGGGGATACCAAGACGGCTGCGACGTGGAAGTATAAGAAACATTGCTCAAACTATATTCGCCTCTTGGACATCCATCTCCGTTACACGTTAAATCAAAATTGAACAGAAGCTAAAAAAATTGAACAATAGCATAAAAAAAATAACTGGCGGGAAGAAGTTTAGTGGCAGTCTTTCGGTATGATGCTAAATGACCCACTATGGCAGTATGGTTGACATACGATTATCGGAGGAAAGATCTTCCAAGAGACAACTAAAAATGTTTAATACTAAGTTATTAAAACAGAATGGCTAAACTCCTATGATACGTTGATAGAAAAAGGCAAGAAAAACGAACCAACCGAACCTAGAAATTTCATGGAATTGGGAAAAATAAGGTCAGAATGTACAATTTTATTCAGAGGTTCAATTAGCGCCCCAGTCGAACCCGCCAGGCCGTTCTTCTGGAAGAGGTCGATAAGCCGGATCGTCCCGCCGCCCATCAAGAAGGTTCGTTCTAAGATAATGTATAAGATACAGCTGGAAACATACAGAAATGTCGGTGTTCGCAGTATTTTAAATCCTTGGGGTTGGTTAGGAAAAACATCCTCCAAAACGTAGTATAGGTGCCCAATTACAATTCCTAAAGCGATAAATCGAGGACATAAACTTGCCAACAAAGTCGACGCTAGCATTGTTACCAAGAAGGTAGGATATGGCGAAGAAAACCCAAGGCAAATAGGGAGCGTTAACTGTGAAAAGACCCATAATGTTTAACCGCACCGACGGGCTTCTGCGGCTCCAAACATAGACGAGCATCATGGTCAAAACGTGACTGAGAAAGAGCATCTGTAAAAACATTCCAGCGATCTATGCGACGAAAATAAGAAAACCGACAACACATACAATGGAGAGGCAACCGCCAAAAATGAACATCATGAGAAAGTCAGCCGAACGCCCATAGTAATAGTTTTCTTCGAGCATTCGGCAATATCGGTATACAAAATACATGTTGAAAAAGAAATTGAAGTCAATGTGTCCAAAAAAGCAGAAACATGTAATCAGCCTCCACAGCTAAAGAAAATCAATGACGATAGGAATAAACTACCTGAAGTTCTCCAAACACAAGTGACGGATTGAAGTATAGCTGTAGAGGGGATAAAATCCCAAGGTGCTTGAACAAAAGTATTGAAAATTCCAATACAAACATACCACAGCGATTGAAAGAAATAGACACGAGGCTGCATAAAATTTGGTAATAGGGGGCATGTTAGCGATTTCATGGCGAAGTTCATCCATTCTGTGCGGTAAATAAGTAAATACGCAAAACTTCTACCGCACACTTTATTTGGTTATGTGTTGTTGCATGCAGTAGAAAAAAACAAGAATGCTCAATGTTTCCCACATTTGGAAAGCTCCTGTCTTTAGTTAATTTCTCCAACCATTACGAGGCTTGCTCTATCAAATTTCTTTCCAGGCAAGACCTGATATGGGCATTAGAGCCTACGAAGTCAACGGGTTCGAGGGTCATAGCGACGGAACATTCTCCTCCTGCCTTTAGTATCTGAATGCATTGCCAGGAAAATGAACAGATTGAGTGATCTTGAATACTCGGTATACTTTAAATTGCTAGATAACGTGCTGATGCCGCAGAATGGACTTACAGAACAGGAGGGACAAGTATCAAAATGTGCCTATGTCATGTGAAAGTCACGTCGCGAAGGGGAAGATATTCCAAGATTGTCAGTTCAGTACAATTCAGTTAATTGAGGGAAAATTAGTCAGCCTTTGTGGACCCTTTTTGCAGCGTAAAATATGTGGTATACAAAAAAATGCCCTGGGCTGGAATAACTCAAACGAGCCCGTAATGGTAGGACAAAATGGAAACGAGTTACAGAGGATGAGCTCGATCACTCATCTCTCTTAGTCGTTTCGGAACATTAATATGTGAGGTTCTTTTTAAAAATGTGTATAGATGGTAACATCACAACATTTGCGGTAGGGGCATTTCATAGTTTGACCACTCGAACAGAGAGGGAGAACTTCCGCACATCCAGCCCTGCCTCCTGAGTGCGCAGTTTAAACGGGTGACCTCGGAGGCTGGTCGTGGTAGCAAATTCAAAAAAGTTCTTGAAGGCCAGGCTGCAACCCAACCTCCTTACAATGCGGAAGGCTTGTAAGAGATCCCCGCGAAGTTGCTTGTAACTCCAAGGGAAGAGGTTCAGATTTCCTAGGCGGGCTGCATAAGGAAAGGTGTTTTGACTCCTAATCATTTGCGTGGCTCTCCTCTGAACCCTTTCGACGCAGTTTTGATCCTCAACCCCCCACGGTCTTCAGGCTTGTACGCCGTACGCCAAATGCGGCCGGACGAATGTTCCGAATGTCTTAGAGAAAGCATCTTCGTCAAAATCCATAAACGCACGCTGGATGGCGTACAGTTCGGACATTGCGCATTTGCCAGTCTCGAACAATGAGCGGATGGTTTTAGGGAACCCGTCGTCAGCACATCGAGGTCCTTTGGGTTTCGGCCTCCTGTAGGGCTGCACCGCCCATAAAGTAGTCCCTTGTGCCTGCGGATATGGTTGTGTTGCCTAGGTGAAGTATGCAGCTTTTACCAGCGTTAAGCTGTATGAGCCAACGGTTTGACCACTCTTTCAACCGATTTCGGTTCACCTGCGGTTTGTTTTCGTCTACAGGGCCTCGAATTAAACCCCATATCTTCATGTCGTCCGCAAACATCGCTACTTCGCAGTCTAAAGCTCTTGAGACATCGTCGACATATTAATAGAACAAAATGGCTCCCAGCGCTGAATCCACTCTTAACCGCAGTAGGATCGGATTTCCCTTGACCGATGCACACAAAGTGATGTCGACCCACAAGGAAGTTTTCGATCCATTTGAGGAAGTTGCCATCGATCCCCAGTTTTTAGTTTATCTAGCGGCCTCTGGTGTTGCACAGTGTCGAACGCCTTCTTCTATGTGGGCCGCGTGCCTGTCGTCGAGAGCTTGGGTCCAGCTCTGGAGAGATTGCAGTAAGTTTGTCGTACAGGATCTGCCTTTTTGGAATCCATGCTGGCATTTCGGTAGCAGGTCGTGAACTTCGAAGGATTGCATCAGTTCACTCTTTATGATCCTTCCCATAGCTTTGCAGAGAATACATGTCAAGCTTATGGGCCTGTAATTTGTCGTCGATGCCCTGTTACCTCCTTTGTATAGCGGAGAAATATGCACCGGTTTCCAATCGATAGGGAGTGTTCCAGTGTCAAATGACGTTTAAAATAACATCGACAAAGGCACATGAATAGAATGGAATAGAATAGGTTTATTGTAGCGCCCTTTGGGCACTGTCAGTCCTCTTTGAACTGAGGAAAAAAACATAAAGCGCACTGGCAAGTTCCCTGAGAAGCTTGGGTGGAATCTCGTCTGGTCCCGGCGACTTCGATTCATTCAATGCTTCTCATTCTCTTCGGAAAATACCTTCTGCGAAGAGTATATCACTGACGCCTGGGGTCGGTAGTTCTTCTGTGGAGGGAGGAAGGAACCTTGCCTCGTTTGTGTAGACTGATTGGAAGCACTGTGAAAAATACGCAGCCTCATCCCTTCCACCAGCAATCGATTTTTGATTTTTCAGTTTATGCATCGTGCTCCTCACTGAAGGCGCTCCATCGACGTTCTTAGCGGAACCTTTTGTGTTCTCC